AAGTCAACATGATCTGGTATATATTGAGTATTGCAATTTTAATACAATGTGTCTCTTTCTTAAAATGTGGGAACTTTTTTTGAAATCCACTGTATTTGAGGAGGGATAAATAATTCACTGGCTATCTATGTAGAGGCCAGGGTTACTGCTAAACATTTCGTAATAATAATCCCCACAACAAAGAATTATCCAGCCCAAATGTCAATAATACCAAGGTTGAAAATCCTGATTTTTAATAATCTTCAACATATTTTTAACAATCTTCAAATGGCCCTGGGGCCTAAGGTCATGTTATATATAATTTAGGTGCAGATATTTTAAAGCATCAACATTTCTTGCTACCCTTCACTACCAACCACATCCTCCTTCCAGGACCCTATTTTGAGGATATTTTAGGAAGAAACACCACTTGCCAGATAGAGTGCTGAAATGCAAACCAGGAAACCAGTGATAGCTATTAGCCAGCTCACTGTTCTTGGCTATGATATCACATGAAAGCACTTTGGGTTTCAAGATCAATTAAATGAGATCTCTAAATTCCCTTTCAGGTTCTCAGAACTGTAACTGTAAGGCTATAAAAATATCCTGGTTTGAGATTAAGAACACATTAGTTATGATCATCTTAATAACTTTAAAAATACCAAAAAAGTGTTATTTTCAATGAGAAAGAATAACACTTTCTTTTAGAAAGAATAACGATAACATCTATTTCTTCCGTACCAACATTTGAGGCAGTTTGTCGTGTCTGAATAGCGATGATGTTTTATTAGTAGTAGAGAGTTCATTTTTAACAAAGTGTTGTAAAATTTGTTCCTTTACATCAGCTTCTTTGTCATATGTTGTTTCCTTATATTGTGAAATATGTAAGATCATCTATAAAAAATTAACTTGAAAAGATTACAATCTAGGACAAACAGCCTCAACACATATAATTTGTTTCTGTTCAAGGGCACATACTCCTTTGGAAAATGGTACCTAAGAAGATAAATCGATGGCCATTTTTCAACTATCATTTTCTTTTAAGTGTAATTTTACTTTTAATTGTTTTGTTGTTGTTGAAGTTGTCATTGTTGTTCAGCTGGCCAGAGCTGGGCTCCAACCCGCCAGCCTCGGTGCCTGTGGCTGGCACTTTAGTTTAATGCCTTCCTTAACTCAAGTCTTCTCAGAAAGAATTGAATTACTTCTTTGTTTCTTTTCAAATAGAAACTTAGTTTCAATGTCAAGATCAGGACATTTTTTCTCCTGAACCACATGCGACTTAGTTTCAATGTCAAGATCAGGACATTTTTTCCCTTGAACCACATGCCAGTGAGTAAGTTGCTGTCTTGGTCACCCACATATCTCTAGAACATTGCTGTATATTCCATACAAAGGGCATTTCCCTACACAGATCCCAATCCTGCCACTATACAAAGGGCATTTCCCTACACAGATCCCAATCCTGCCACTATACAAAGGGCATTTCCCTACACAGATCCCAATCCTGCCACTAAAATCAGGAGATGAGCATCTCATCTATGCAGCACCATTTCATCCTCATGCCCCATTTATGTTCCAACTAAAGTCCTTATAATATACTAATAAAATGTGCTAGCTCAGAATGGCCTGTGGCCCTTAGCTGGTTGTTTCTCCAGCCCTTCCTGACCGTGAGGCTTACCAAACAGAACTCCCAGGAGAGTTCTCCGGTGATGATTAGATTTGAGGTAGGCACCTTGGAGAGGAATATCACAGAGGGAATGCTGAATTCTTCTCCTTGAACCCTATCAGATGGAACACTGTTGTGTGTGTGAGCTTTTAGTGATGATTTTCACTTTGATCATTTGATCAAAGTGGTGTTTCTCAAGCTTTTCCACTGGAAAGGTACTCTTTCCCCCTTTGCATTAATAAGAATTTTGTAGGGAGTTACTTTGAAACTGTACTATTTTGTGCTTCACTAAATTTTCCATTGATTTATTTAATTAATTTTTATCAGTATGGACTCATGAATCCATTCTCTAAGAAGTCCTGGCCGCTGTTCAGAAGGAACAGTATTAGAGTCTAAGATCTAAGTCTACTCAGAGCTGTTGGGAAATCACTGCTCCATCTCAGTGGACAGAACTAAGAATACATGCATGAACATTCACATAAACACACATACAACATACATGTAATGTAAGTAGTATGAACATGTGTATATATGATATGCAAGCTATAACACCCCACCATCCTTACTAGGCTTGGCCTCTGAGACCCTGATCTGGGCCCTTTCTGCTCCACCTGCCAAGGAAGGACACCTCCCTCCTCTCCCCCCACTCAATGGCTATTCAGGGAAAGATGGGAGGGAGAGGAAAAGCAGGAAAAGTGGTGAGGGGGACAGAAGAGCAAGAAGAAGAGTCAGTTGAACTAATTCTTAACAAGCGTTGGAGGGTAGGCTTATAGTTAATTTGTTCCTTCAAACAGTTTGAACACTCGCAAAGATTAAAAACTGCTAGCACTGTCTTCTGAGATACGGACTACCAATGTCACAAACCTGTGGGTGTCAGATTATATTTGTTTCAAAAAATAGTGTTAGTAGGCAGCTGCTCTTTGGGGCATGCATAGACTAGGGAAAGAGGTTGAACAAGGATACACGAAACCCAGGTCCTCTGAAAGTTACAATGGTCATGTCAAATGACCCCACGACAAACATTTCTCAAAAGATAAATACAACCCATTGTCCTAATTTCTTTCACGTAACATTTGTAATAATGATGTTTAAATATTCCTATTTACATAATATTTTCCTTTAAAAAGATATTGTATATTTCTTATTTAATTAAAAAGCCCTACAAGAGTCCAGGTGAGTCCCTTTGCCTAACTTTATTCCAAGATTCAAACTGTGTCAGTATTTCCTTCAGCTCCAATCAAACATTTAGACTGTGTCCTCTGTCGGTGGTTCCAGATTTTCAATGACATACCTGATTAGCACAGAGGGACGACTCAGCACTGAGCACTGTGTGTAAACATTGTGTTTAAGTACACAAATGTTGGATTGATTGATGCCAAATTTCCTGCTCCCGCTGCTTAACTGAGAGTGTAGACTTGGGCAATTACTTAACCTAAGCCCCAATTTCCTCATCTGAAAGCCAGAAATAATAAAAGCTAACTCCTAGTGCAATGCCTGGCACATAATTGTTACATAGTAAATGTGATAATTTATAGCCATTTTTATTACAAAAATTTGGCTCCAAGTCTTAGGTGAATGATATTCCTATCTCCCAGTATGTATTTAAAGCATCTGGATTAAAATATCTGATGAACCTCACAATATCATTTAGCCAACAGGAAATTGAATTTCATAGAGATCGATACAGTATGTTGAAAACAAGCTGAGGTTGCCCAATAACTTTTAATTTGGGCTTCAAATTAGATACTAACTTCATGCCTTTTATCTGAAATACCATTCCATAATTTCAGCTTAAGTAGAGATAAAAGGACAGCTTTTACACCATATATAAACACAGATATCCACTCCCCCGTGGCATCCCACCTACTTACACCTTCATTTATCCTACTTTTTAATTTGTTTCCTGTTTTTTCCCCTTTAGAAATCTGCTCTGGATAGCAATTTAAATGAACAGAATGAGTATCTATCTAACAGCACATTCTCGGGCCGTATCAGTTTATGCAACAGTTTTCCACCTGGTTAGAATCATATGAGTAGCTGTTAAAACACCTAATATCCAGGCCAAACAAACCAGAGATGTTGAGGGCAAGATCCAGGCATCAGTATTTTTAAAACTCTCTGGTAGTTCTGACATACGGCCAAGGAGAACCAAAGTTCTGGAACTAAACCAGAACGCACTGGTTCTCAAAACTGGAATACTCCGAGGGGAATAACAGGTCAAGGATAAAAGAACTAGTGGTAACCAGAGGCGGAGGGAATATACTGGATAATTCTTCACAAGTGGAATAATGGAAAAGAAATATAGGGCAAGGCAAAAGGTTACCCACAATATTTTACCCAAGTTGTTAATTAAGCCTATTAAAGGCCATATAAAAACTGAATAGTCTTACCTTTTGATTAATCTCTCCTTCTTTATGGTATGTTTCAAAACATCTACATCTACATCTTTCATGCTATAAGCGCATGAAAATAAATTCTCACGAAAGGTTGAAAACTTTGCGTGGAATAGTCCTGATTCTAGTTACCGACGGCCGTTACACACCAGCCTGAGAGGTTGGTGTGTTGTTACCCTTACTGGCTGCTACGACTTAAAGGTTTACAACACTGAAACCCGAATCACAAGGTAGGTTAAACGGACTATTCTATAAATAAAAAACAATTATAAACAGGTAAAGGGAAATGGCAAATTTGGTGTTGACTTTGGTAATGGTTTGCACATAAACTTCTCAAAATGTCTTAAACAAACAAAAGGAAAGAAACAACACCCCAAAACTCTGTTCTCAAAGACTATGGTGTCAAAAGAAGAGAGATGAACGTGATCCTGTAAGTCGTTACGACTTTGGTTGGTTACTTGGTCATGATTTTTTGCTCCACTCAGCTCTGGGAAACATCCTCAAAGCCAATGCACCTGCTAGGAGGAATGAAAGAGGTGACACTTGGGCCTTACTAGCCGTTCCAGCGGCAGGAGCAGGCCTGGGGTTGCGGCTTCCAGATCTTAGCACAGGCCAAAGTCTGGCCCCCCACCCACCCACGCGTCCTGCGCCCTGTTCCTGGGAGAAACCAGACCCTGCCCTACCACCCACGCCTCCGACTCTCGGGGCGCTGCCGCTTCCAGATACACGCCTAGGAGCGGAGGAGCGCGAGCCGCCGGCTCCCCGGCTCAGCTTAGGTAACCCCAGTCTGGCCAATGGGAGGCCGCCGCCGCCGTCCGCGCCCGCGCCCGCGCCGGCATCGCGCGCCTCGGCCCTGAGCCCGGCTGTGCCCGGCTGTGCCCGCCGCCCGCCGGGACCCGAACCCCGCGCGCTCCTTCCCGCGCGCCCTCCGCCCTTCCACCCAGCCCTCGCGTCCGTCCCACCTGGATCCTCGCCGTCCGCCAGGCTCGGGAGCGCGGCGACGAGAAGGCACAGGAAGGGAAGCAGCGCGAGCGTCAGTCCGCGGAGTCCCCGCAGGCCGAGGAGGGCGCGCATGGCGCGGGAGGATCCGCCGCGGTCCTGCCGCAGACCGCTCCGTCGGCTCGCTGCCCTCGGTGTCCCGAGTCCCCGTGCACACTCGCCGATGGCCCAGGGCCCGCTGCCAGTCCTGGGGGCGGACGCGCGAGCGAGGCGGAGTGGGAGGGGCCGGGCTGGCTGCCCTATTCCCCCGAGAGGCTCTCGCTGCGCCCGGCCCTCCATCAATTATGCAGCCGGCTGCCGGCTCCGGCGCGCCCGGATGTGCGGTGCCTCCTCCAGCCGCATCCTCGCGGGCCTCCACCCTGTGGGCTGCGGCAGGGCGGACCGGAGTTTGCTTAAAGTGCCTGGGAAGGTGATGCTTAGCCCACCCTCAGGGGGAGGTCGTAGCCTCTGCAGGTCCTCTGAGGCGTGATTCACTTATTTACTTTGTGGGACAGATGAGAAGGAGAACCCTTTACTGCTCCCTTTATCCCGTACTTCTCTGGGGTTTCTTATCTTATGTTTGCGCTGGATTGAGATTCTATCCAGCTGCCCACAGCCTGGACTAATCTTCCTTTGCTCTGCCTGCCAATCACAGACACCCTCTCTTCCAGTCTCTGAAGGCTGAAGCGCTTCTCTCTAAAGTTTCAGATTCCCAAGGGCCCTTAGTGTGTCTGATTTTATTTTACTTATGTTTGCTTAGTCTAACAGCTTTGGGCAACCACTGAGAACCAAGAAACAAAAACTAAAGTCGATACTTTGTAACCATATAAAGATGTGTACCTTTGTTACGCTACAGTGTTTAAGATAATGCTGCCCCTTAACCGAGCACGGCCGCAGTTTGCGATTTTCAGTGCCCCCAGCCGAAATAAAACAACCAAAATCTAGACCTTTATCTGGGAACGGAGGAGAAAGCTACATTGTAACATAAAAACATCTTGAGAGTTGATGACTGTCTAGAATGTTGTAACACATTAAAAGATACTGGTCAAATCCTTCTCAGGAGCTCCGTTCCTTCTCCCTTTGTTTTTTAAAGGTTAGCTTTGATAGCCATAAATTCAAAATATATCCGTGTCAAACAAACAAAAGGGGGGACTGAAAGAAATGTTAGATAAAAATTTTGAAAACTGATCTGTTTAGCAAGAACGATGTTTACTCCAGACAGGAGTAGTTGATTTTTAATTGGCATGCATTACTAAAAGATTACTCTGTTTCTACTTTAGTTATTATATGTGTAAAACTTTGAAAGGAATGTACATTATTCAAATTGGTGAGAGAATATGAGTGATACAATTCATGCAATATTATCTCCCATGTGCCAGACACTGTGTTCAAAATAAGCTGAATAAATGTTTTGCATATAACGTGTGTGAGCGTGCACACACACACACACAAGTTAATATAATGAATTATGTATCTGTGAACTACAAATCCAAGGAAAGCCTCTTCTCAGTCACAAAATTATGATTATGATGATAAAACCTTTCAAACAAAGTCTTTTAAGAGACATTGAAGGACTAAAACTTACATACTGTGACGTCTCAGCACTTACTAAACCCAAATTACCTAACCAGTGCCCGCTAAATCACCGCTGTTTTGCTGCGCTGTATCCGGTCTCAGCCTGCTGGCAAACATTTCTCTGCATCTACCTAGACTATGAACAGTAACCTCTTCTCCTATCAAACTGATTGACCCTTCCCAATTAGTGCTATGAAATCCTTAAACATAAATGCACCTTCCTTTGAATGAGCTAACCATTGGGGGCCTAACCTGTTCCCATAGGAACCTTCCCCTTTGTCCTCCTTGGCCCCTCCCCCACTCCGCCTCCTCTCCTCCTGAGACAAAGCACACAGAGGACCTAGTTAGCCAACCTGAAAGCTCTAGCCAAAAGACTGTAACTCTCCAAAGCCCTCTGGGCCAGCAGTGGAATTTGCCCACCCTCTACAGCCTCATATAAAAGGGGATTCTAACTGTCCTGGAAGGGGCAGACACAGACACCCTCCTTGCACTCCAGGCATGTGGCTGTCCCTTTTCAATACAGCTGGCCTGAACACCTTCACACCCTCCTGGTCTCATCTCTGGGCACCGCCACTGACACCTTTCACTGACCTGATTCACAGAAAAATTTTTTTCTGCGTAGATACCTAGTAATGGGGTCATGGGGTCAAATGGAAGGTCAACTTTTAGCTCTTTGAAGATTCTCCACACTTCTTTCTGAGGAGGCTGTATTAGTTTGCAATCACACCAGCAGTGTAAAAGTGTCCCCTTCTTTACATATCCACATCAGCATCTGTGGGCTATGTATACCCTGGAATACTATGCCACCATAAAAAAGAAAGGGTGACTTTACATCTTTTGTATTAACCTGGATGGAGTTGAAACACATTCTCCTTGGTAAAGTATCACAAGAATGGAAAAGCAAGTATCCAATGTACTCAATACTAACATGAAACCAATAGAAAAACAACTGCATCCTCACACAAAAGAAAAACAATTCAATTCAAGAGGGGAGAGAGGAGAAGGGAAAGGGGAGGAGGGGGGATTGGTAAGGTCTCACCTAATGGTCAGAATGTAAAGATATACAGCACACCCTCGGGTGAAGGGCTCAACTACAACATGGACTGCCTGACAACTCTCATATTAACCTGAAATTTAAAAAAAGAAAGGAAAATTTTATTTTCGGTTGAATTGTTATGCCCGAAATTCTCCCAAAAGGCCCCAGCAGACAAATCCGAGACACATTCCGATGTAAAAAGCAAGAGGTGAGATTTATTCAAACCCAGGTCTGGACTCTCCTGGCTTGCAAGCCGAGGTCGAGCCCCGAACGGGGTGGGGAAAGTTTTTATGGGGTACAGAAGGCAAGAAGGGTAGGGTCAGGTACAGGTACATTCTTGATTGGTGGTTGATGATGTCACTAGTAAAGGAGGATTTGGATTGGTACAGGTTGAGGGGTGGGGGATTTCTTAACCGGGGGCAAGAGGTGGTGCAGCGTGATTAGGTAGCTGGATGGAAATACCTGTATTTCAAGGAAATAGAAACTTATTGCTTATTATGGCAGCTGTTTGCCTAAGGTGACTCTATTAATGGCTCAGTGGCTGTGCAACCTGGGGTGGGGGAGTCACCAGGGAGTGGCCCTGCTGGCTAGGAGTTAGGAACAGAACTTATGCAGTAAACAGTATGTGCAAGGTATGCTGTAAACAGTATGTTCAACCAGGGGTGGAGGAAGGTAATAGCAGAGGGGGTTGGAGAGGAATAGATCTTATGCAGTAAACAACAAAATGGCGTTGGTCTGGCCCTTTCAGAATCAGCCTGTTTATGAACAGGAAGAAGTGACTAGCCCAAACTGATACTCATTTCCACTGTTGGTTTTGTTGTTAGAGCAAAAAAAGTTGCAAAAGAAATATAATTCTTGTTTTGCTAAGCATTTTGAAAGTATTTTTCATCATTGTTACTGTTCTACATTTAGATGTTTGAATTGCTTTAGATTTTAATGTATTATGATCTTTATTTACAACTTTATTGCAAAAGAGAAGAGGGAAAACTTTTACACAGTTTAACACAGGGCATCGAAGCTGATTCTGTTGGATAAAAGAAGTTCCATTTTAAAGGTTCATCTAATTGCCCAAAGATATACAATACTGAATCCGCATATTCAGGTTCCTTTTATGAAGTATGGTACTCTTGTCTTAGGCGGTCTTTTAAACATATAAATACTAAGAAAATTAAATCATTCATTAAAAACTATGTCAAATAAAAGGTATGTTAAATGTAAATTTATGTTGTTCCTGGTAGTAACACATGCCCAACTAAACCCCAAAGCTGGCAAAGCAGTTACCCTTCCTACTTGAGTGGACAGTTACGGCAATCAATCATTTTCTGAATAACTGCTGTATTTTCAATATATCATGAACTACTCTGAACTTACTATGAGTTGTAGTTAGTCAGAAGAGAAGACATAAATTCCTTTTATTTTTTTTCTGGAGGAGGAGGAAGCTAATCCCTCCAGAATCAGCATGGGATTCTATTCATTCTAGGCAGAAAAAAAATTAATGTAGTTCATTTCAACTCATGCTGAGCTGCCAGTCTTTTTCAGTGACCTGTTTGGTGTCATTCTTCCAAATCAAGTGTTTTTAATTCTTCTTCTAGTGCGTCCAAATCTTCCCCAGTACAAATATTTTCATCAACAGGAACAGCATGGGTGGCTCCGTTTTCCTGTCCCTCAATTTCATCGTCCTCTTCAAAGTCACTTCTTTCACCATTTTCAGCCCCACCTCCAGAGGCTTCACTTAATTTGTTTTTATCTTTGTCTGAGGCACATGTGCTGAATCTTTCTAGACTGGCTATAGTGATACCTATCTTGTCTACATCTTTTGGCATATGTAGGCTAAATCTATTTACACTTACTGAATCATCAACTTTATCACCATCTGTTCCCTGGCTGTAATGGGTGTCATCCGTTTCCTTCTCATCATCATTGAACAGTTCAGGATAAAATTCAAACACTTCTTGGCCACTGATCATGAATGCTTTTCCTGCTTTGAAGTCAGCTTTCCTTATTTTCATATCTTGCTCAAGTTTATTAGTCTTTTCTGATCTTTTTCTTTCTTCCATGCAAAAAAGATTCCAGAGTACTAAAAGGATTTTGGTAACATTTGGACTTAGGACAGAATGCTCTCTTTCAATCAGATCTTCTAATGAAATTTTCTCTTCTTTCTCTTCTTTCTTGTTATCATTTTTCAACAGAAATCCAGGAGGAAGTTCAGGATGATACATGCAAATATCCCTCCTCCAGGGCATACCCCAAACCAGCCATACTTGTTCTTTTCAACCGCTGCAAGAAAATGCTTGCGTACTATTTGAGTTTTTGGTTTTCTCTTCTTTGCCTCACCCAGCTTCTTGTTCACGACTTCTTCCAGCTTTTTCTCATCTCAGTTATTCAGAGTATCTTTTTCAGGGTCTTCATCTTTTGCATTAATGTAAACATTTTTCTTTTCACATTTTCTATCCAGAATCAAGTCATGAGAAAACTTACCCTTATCTCTTTCAGTACAAAAAAATTAATGTAGTCAATTTCAACTCATGCTGAGCTGACTCAATCTTTTTCAGTGACCTGTTTGGTGTCATTCTTCTAAATCAAGTGTGTTGAATT